AAAATCTATATACACAAATTTAAATGTTAAGAATATATTAAGTATATCTGATTCTGTATGATAAATATAAATCTTTAAATAATGATGAGTTGTATGAGTGTAAAAAAATTTTATGTCGCTTCAAACGAATGGAACGCATATTTTTTCCATTATCTATCAATCATGTAAATAATCTGGACACAGGTGTAGGAATAAATAATACGGTGTCTATAAATAAGGAATTCTTGACAGCTGGCGCTAATAAGTAAGTTGTAATTAATATGGAAACTACTTTCTGTATCTTACAGACACATAAAATTGTAAACATATAAAAGGCATAAAATACTTTAAACAGAGATAACAAAGACAACATTTTTCGATTTTTCGATTTGACGAATCTATAATCAAAGAATCTTCGAGAATGTAGCATGTGGCTTATTTTTAAGTCGAAATTAGAAAAAAAGACTGCAGTTTAATAACTGTACCTCTTGTTTTCAGATGATGCATCGGCAGCAGAACACCCAATCATCTAACGACGAATTCGCGATGTATCCATCGGCCGCGTATCATTCCTCGTGTTCGACGCTACTCACGTCGACGTCGTCGTCGTCGTCGTCGTCGTCGTCGTCGAGAATTTCGTCCGCGAGGTCGTCCTGTCCGTTACTGATGTCCGTCCTCACGTGGTCGCTGACGTTATTGTTGATCTCGTCCTGCATCGGTCTGGGCGCGGACGCCGCCAGCCTTAGCGGCCATCCTCTGGGCAAAAGGTCGTTCTTCGACATCCAGTGCAAGGGCGTGTACGACAAGAGCATCTTCGCCCGTCTGGACCGCATCTGCGAAGACTGCTACAACCTCTTCCGGGAACCGCAATTGCATATGCTTTGCAAGTACGTTTAATTATCCACAATGACTAGATACTTTCGCGACCGACAGTCGAGGACCGTGTGTTGCTGCTGTTGCTCCATGGCGATTTAGAGCGTAAAGCCGATGAAAGATGAGATATTCGCAATCGTTCGCGATGACGCGATTGTTAGAAACGCGGTAATCTTGATATATAAAAAGGAATTTAAAGAATTTTATGATCTATCACGGGGTTGCTACAAAACTGGAAAGCAAGGAATTGTCAGGAAATTTGCAAAATTAAAATTCTTGGCTTTTGGAATAATTTAGACGGATAAATAGCTGGATGCCAACTTCAATTTGAAACCTCAATTCGTGAGAAATAAACCGTTAAGATATTCCAATTTTGTATTTTGATTTTATTTAAAAAATATTCACATGGATATACTCCAAAAAGTTTTTTATATTTATTTCTGCTATTATTTTTTATTTTTTATCATTTAATATTATATTATTTAAGATATACAATTAAGTATATGACATAAAAATATATTCCAATATTTAATTAGCAGTTTATTCCTCGAGATCTAAATAATAATTTTCATGTTACGCTATTTGCAATTCGTAAGACCGATTTGAGGGCTGCAAACGCGTGCTCGTTTTTTCATCATAAACTCCACAATCTCGGAGAAGTCAAATTAGTAAATGCATATTTTATATTTGATCGAGAAAAATTGAGTGTAATTCTAGAGTAAATTCTTGTGCATAATATACGAGATTCATCTCGCGGGCGAGACGGATTTTTGAAAATATTATCGCGAATAGCAAAGAAAAATTAGCCAGAGAAGATTCTACCGAGTTCTGATGGTGAAACAATTTCGCGAACGACTTCCGCCGTGTGATTTCTACCTTGAAAAATGTCGGCGGGGAACAACGGCCAAGGTGGACGTACGGATACATACTTTTGTACATATACACACACACACACGCACGCGCACCACACATACACACACCTACAATGCACACGTGCTCTGCTCTCGGTACTGATACACACAGAGATATATATGCAAACGTACGTACACAGAGGAGCGCGTTCACCATACGTCGGCACGCGTATCGAAATGGAATGAGATTTCTCTTCTATTTATAGCTCGTGCGAGCGAATACCAACGCACATCCGCTGCTACCTGCCGTTTGTGCCGCGCCGCGTTAAGCCGCTTAACGGCCGTCTCAAAAGAGCTATTGTGTGACGAGCGAGCGGGATCAACGTGAAAAAGAGACGGATTGACGGGCTAGCTACTACTCGAATAGTATGTAACGGCATGTAGCTAAATTTAGGAAAAATTTCAACCTTGTTAAGATGTGAAATGACGAGAAAAAGCAGATGCATTGAGGTGAACCGCAATTTAAAGAATATTGGCGGAATAATCAAATCTTTTCACTAAGTGAAAATTATTATTTTCGCATGTATTTTTAAGTGGAGTTAAAAAAATTTTTTTTTTTTTTGGAAGTTTAATCTTTTAAGTTGTATTGCAATTTATTTTTTAATTTATTCGAGTTTCGCGGTTTAGAGCGGGAATTATATTGAAATGAATTGAAATAAATTAATATCTGTGGGTATAAATTCATTTCTGTTTATGAAATGAATAGAAAATAAAACGACTTGAAAATAAATTTCTTGTAAATATTTTTTGGATTTTACAATAATATTTATAATTCCTTCTTTATAAATATAACATATTCATTTCGATTGAAATAGGAGAGAATATTCCTATTTAATGTTGTACTCAATATTATACTATGGATACAAATTCAGGATTTATATATTTTGAATTGGAATGTATTTATGGTTAACTTATTTAAAACCTAAATATTTTTAGACTCAAATGGATAGAAATGGATGCTATTCATGTTGAATTTGAATGATTCATATTCGTATTTATAGATATATTATGTTTTGATTGAAATGAAGTAAAATGCGAAATAAGCTATTTATTCATCATATTGAATATGAATATATTCATGTCTGTATTATTTTATGTTTTTATTGAAATGAAATAAGATGAAAGAGGAGCTATTCATTACGTTGAATTCAGATGTATTCATGGATCCGAATGAATTTGAAAAACCACAAGCAGGAATTCGGAAGTGAATTCGTTTTTATTCATTTCAATTTATTCTCGTTTACTAGGATGAGAACGATATGTTTTACGATCATTCGTGAGACATTTTTCAGGATTTTCGAGCTACGAGCTGCTGCCTACGAATGCAACTTATGTTAATTGTGACGTAATTCATTATGTAATTATTATATTTTTAACTCTCTGCAGGAAGGAATGTTTCACCACGGACTACTTCAAAGGATGCTTAGACGTCCTGCTGCTAACGGACGAGGTCGGAAAGATCCAAATGTGGATCAAGCAACTCCACGGAGCTGATCCCGGGGTTTAGGTAGCCTTTTCTTTTTAGTTTATGATTTCTCCCTTTATGTATCCCCTTTTTATGTTCTTTCCGCTTTTCGCAAATATAAAGAACTAACTGTGTCCGCTTGCACTTCCACTATCCTTCCTCGTCTGCTCTCGACTCGATATACGTCCACTCGTCGGAAACATTAATGCTCCGATTTGTTCACGCAATCTTTGCATATATATAACGATTGTACGTAAACATCTTGTAATATTTGTAATGCTAAGTTTGCCGTAAGTAATGACGAGTATATAAAAAAATCGTGAATGGCATTAAGTGATCGAGTTGTGCTTCATCAATCGCAGTGGTGTTTGGATCGAAAATCACGTACAAATATTTCAGAAACTGATAACAAACGATAATATCTAGTAACGAGTAAAATGAATTATTCGCCGAGAGTTAAATAGCATTATCGAATGTGGCTGCATTCCATTTCGTGACACAAGTCGACCCAAGTATCGTTCTTGCTCGTGGAGTGTCAAGAAAGATAGAATAATACTTTTGTAACATTAAAGTAAAAGTTAATAATTTGTAAGTTTGTATAGGAGAGATTAAGTTGTGAACAGAAATAGATATTGATCGAGTCTCTACTTATCCCTCTTTTTGAATATATATTTGTTATACTTCCGTTACCATTACTTTCAGTTATATTTTCGTTGCATTTTGACATCATCCCCTGGACGAATATCCACGCGTATTATAGTATCTTCGCACCGAGATAATGAGTATGAGATATTAGGTAATTCTACGCAAGAGAGAAAGAAGAGAAAAAGAAAAAACCTTATATTAGCGAGCAATGCTGCAACAGATAAACATGAAGTGCTGGAATTTATCGTAATAGAAATTATAAAGAATCTTAGCATCTTCTTCGTCAAAATGTTGGCGAGTAATAAAATAAATTTGGAACAATTAATACAAATTAATATGAACACAATTAATAGAAATATGAATAATTAATATATTTATTCTGTTAATTATGTTTAAAATTTAATTTGACAAAATGCAGCATCGCTGGCGAATGTAATATACAGCATCATCTCGTACATTCTGACTTCACATTATCTATATTCAGAGAAAATATAAAGTGATAATAACTATAAAAGTAATGTCTATACAAATTTTATATAAAATTAACGTACATATAGTTGAACAAATTATTTTATAATTAATTGTAACTATAATTTATTCAACTCTA